AAAAAGAAGGAGTTGAAGTCCACACATCTTAAAGTTGCCAGGGTTGAGAAACACTGATCTAAACTGTTAGCTGCAAATCTCGAGCTCAACTTCCCTGGCTGTTGGTTTAATCCTGGGCAAAATCCTGACTTAGAAGCAGTATCAAAAGGGATAATAAAATTAAATGAGCATAATTGGTCAAACTAATCTGTACTAATATAAAGTGATAAACCTCTCAAGATTCTCTTCTCCAATTTCTCCAGACTTTATCACCAATGAGGGAAGGACAATGCAGCACTAAGAAATCCATTCCAGACCATAACTTTTTAAAAGTTGGAAAAAATTAATGGGGCAAAACTGGCACTTAACAATAGGGTTCAATAACCATCAATGGATATTGGTGTTAATCACCGAAGTATATATTGTAATTTTTTGGGCAGCTGTTGGAATCTATCTTCACAATTTGGTGCTGAGTTTGTTGAAAGACAATGAGAAACCCAACCTTTTTTCTAAGGACTCAAAGTGTTCCATAATTGCTGCAGGACTAAAAAATTATTTATCAAAGTCTGCACAAAGGCAGCATATTTAAAATTATTTACATGTAAGACCGTGTTTCTGGTTGCCCATGACTTTTCCAGGGTTGTTTAATAGCACTTTATAATGCAAAGATCTGTAAATCAAGGCAACTTTTATCATAGTTAAAATGCCATGCTGTATTTTGAATCTAACACTTCAGCTTCATTCTCTCTGATACTCCTGGACTGTATCAAATCAAACAGCAGAAGCTGGCACAACATGCATCACAGCCTGTTTCCTTGAAGTCTCCCATCCATGTGCTAAACCAGGCTTGGTCCTGCTTAGCTTCCATGCTCAGATGAAGTTAGCTAACTCTTAGCACCTGCTAAGACTCAGTACTTCTAATTAGGTTACTAAAGGTGGCAAGAAGCTCTTTTGACTGCAGTCCTGCATATAATTAAAAAGAAATAAATTAGTTGAAGCTCCCAAGTGTGTAAACTGTTATTAAGCTTTAATTGTGGCTAAGGTACCAGTCCTAACAGGTCTAGAACTTAGATTCCTTTCACGTTCCTGCCTCAAGAAGGTTCTGCAACAGTGTTTCTCAGTCTCAGCGACTTTAAGACCCGTGGAGCATGCTGGCTGGGGAATTCTGGGAGTTGAAGGCCAGGGGTCTTAAAGTCGCTGAGATTGAGAAACACTGCTCCATGAGATCTCTCCAATGACTACAAACTCTATTTCATGCAAGCCTTTTTCCCTCATCTTTGCCAACTCAACTTCCGTTTTTCTAGTCCCCCCCCTCCCCATCAAAACTGACCATTGTAATCTCGCCTCTGGCCTTTATGCCCTCTGTCTTTCGGAGGGCAAGTCTATCCAGGACGCTATCGGAGCTTGGCTGCAAAGCTCCAGGTGGCCACGAGGGGGCAGCCATGGCGTCGCGTCTGCGGTAACTTCCCTGCCCTTTCGGGGCGGTCCAGATGTGGAGGGGGGACAAGAAGGTCCCCATCTTCTGCTAGGGAAGCCCCTGCTCAGCGTTTGCGAGAAACGAAGTGCTGGGTTCCTTCCCTGGAACCAGCCGCTCTATTTTCTGTCCCCTTCCGAGCCCTTAAGGCAGGGTTCCTCAACCTCAGCAACTTTAAGATGGGTGGACTTCAACTCCCAGAATTCCCCAGCCAGCATGGGAGTT